TTTAAAAAAAAAGAAATCCTTCACTTCTAAAGGAAAAGCAAAAATAAAATTCTAAATTATTGGCCATAAAAGCCTCAGCTGGGACTGAGGCTTTCTATAGCTAAGCAGAATGGTTTCACTATCTTCAACACGAAGAAATAATAAATGCCCACAGAGACATAATTTGACCATGGCATAGGAAAACTATTGCAAACTTAATAAGGAAGAAAAAAGCCAGACACAGCTAAGTATTTACTATTAATGAACAAACACAGTTATTTCAGTAGCCCATATAATTTCTGTAGGCAGTCATCATTTTGCAACAACCTCACCTCTGGTTATGCCCTGAGCACTTACATACTAATCAGTATTAGGCTAGGTCAGGCACTTAGAAGTGAGTTTGTCAAAGCACAGCACCTGGATGCTGCTGGCTGACTGTAGCTCATTCCTCTATTAATAAACAATACTGCGCAGGGTGGTTAAAGAGTTGTACTAATCTAGGTGATAAATTGCAAACAACTATGGGAAGCACCTGAGGTCATTGAAAATTCTGCAGCACTTACACAATGGAGATGCTCAGGCTTCTGGCCCTCACAAATTTCCACATGAAATAAATTAACCTTAATGAGCACCACAGCTAATAATCTCAGCAGGGGCTAAGGATTGTTTGTAGAACAGCTCTCCAAAGCTTGCCCTCACTTCAAAGGCATGCCAGTGCATGACACAGTAAAATTTTTCTTCAGTGCAAATCTTTTATCTAAATTTCAATATTTTTATTCATTAAATATTTGTAAGTATATATGGATATAATTCCATTAGCTGTTTTTTGATGGTCCCGTCTTTCCACAGTAATTCTCTCTCTGAAAACATTCTCTTTCTCTGGATTATCCAACCAATTTGCCGTCTTCCCAGATTTATAACACAGTCATTCTCCTATATAGCTATATCGAAATCAGCCCCAGCTTCTAAATGCAATGCCTTTTATCTTCTTTTCTGCTACAACTATTTTCTGACTGCACAAAGACTCTTGGCAGCACAAAGAGCAAACAACTGACCTTGAGAATCATGAAATAATACTGGTTCCAAGTCTTTTTTAAAAAGAGCTTTTTAATCAGATGCTGCTGTTATTCTCTGAATGATACAGGGTTTTATTTTGGAAGTGATGTGGCAGTGAATGCAATTTGGATATTTTACAGAACAATGTTTCAAGGGCACCTACACTTAAACTTCCCACTATTACAAAGCAGATACCAGTTATCACTTTAAAATATACAGGAAAGATCTTTTTGATTTGTGAACATTAAAAATCCAGCTTTAAACCACTTCTTTATGCAACTTTGGAACAGAGGGTTTCTAGATATCATGCAAATACCTTTACTAAGCTGAACACAAAAGGGGATACTGAACATAGTGAGATAGATGGAAAGGGAAGAGTAACAGATTACTGCCTTGGTGAGAAAGTGGCCAAATTAAACTATTCTGAATGGTGTTAGTTTATCATACAAAGACATTTAATTTATTTCATTATTCTCTGTGGGCAGCTATAGCACTGCAAAACCCAGGCACATTCAAGGAGATGAGCACAGTGGACAAAGGACTCCTTCAGAGTGCAATATTTAATGAAACTTAAATTAGGTCTCAAAGGACCAATAGAATGTATATAAAATATAGCACTGACACTGAGTCATTCTGTTCACATGCATGTTTTAAAGTAATTGTCATCAAATTCACAGATGGCCCCAGAAGATTTAAATGCATTTTTAATACAGCACCCATACATATAACTTCTTTAAAAATTCATATTTCATTCTAATTTCTTTACATGATGCGCAGGACAGAAGGGTAAGGAAAACTCTACAGCTAAGACTAAACACTTCCTTAAGGAATAAAAGAAAATAGCTTTGTTTTCACTTCATTGTTAGCAATGAAGTGAAAGGCTACAACATTTTTGCTTCTGTTTGCCTCTGTGAATTTATATATGTCAAAAAAAGTTAAGAGAGTATGCATTAATATTCTAAACACTGCAAAATAATGGGAGGATATTATTACCTAATAATATATTTTATATATTGGTATATTTCTATGTATTTATGTGGTGAAAGAAACAAGCAATACTGAACAAAACACCCAAAGACCAAATATAAACCTGAATTCAACCCATTCTCTAATAAAAAAATTTACCTGTATAAAAATCACTCCCATAACAAACACTAATTCAGTGCAAAACAAAATATTATGCAGAAGTTAATTATAAGTAAAACATTTTAAACAGGAAGAACCCACCTGTATTCACAAATTCGCTGCTATAATAAAATAAAAAAATAAAGAAATATAAAAATTTTTGTTTCCCTTTTTTCAACTAACTGCAACCATGCAAAGAGATAGATACCTAAAACCTAGAATCAAAAACATGAAAAAAACATGATTTTGAAATTCAGAATTTTGAAAACGATCAGTACACAACCAAAATTATTTTGAAGCAAAGAACTGAAATTATAAAACAAAAGGGCAACAAGATGGTATAGTTCTGGGTTATGTTTTTTTTGTGTATTGTATACTAATTTTGTTCTGTAATGCACTCTCTTCCAAATACAGTGAAGCCACATTCACTCAGGCCAAAGGAAGAAAGACTCCACATTGCAAGACACGAAAACCTAGAGACACTACCACAACAACTAAACAACTAAACAAAACAAAACAAAACAAAACAAAAACAAAAAAAAAAAAAAAAGAAAGGACAAACACCTATTCCAGTCCAGATGGTGATAAAGAGAATTAAAGACAAAATTTAGGAGTAAGAAGTGAGGTCTGGACCTTCAAGGTTTGACTTTATTGGACACAAAGCAGAACAGACCTTAACCAAAAGTAGAGTAAGGTCAAAGCTCTTCACTCAACTGCAGTGCCACCTCTCAGACATATAGGTGCTGTAGTGCATCAGGCAATTCCAAACTCCGTGTTTTCCACCGACCATCAACATTAAGGGTTTTGGCTGAATGTGCATGTGATATCAAGCTACTAACTGTCAGAACTCGTTGCACAGACAAACACAGATAGAATGCTTGAACAGTTATAGCCCAAAGGATATCTACTCCTCCTCTAAGTCTCAGTCTATGCAACTTCCTGTGGACAAGGATCACACAAGTGTGTAATGAAGGAATGCTCACAAGCCATAATGTGGGGACACTGTAGTGAAGTGTACTTTTTGTACCATCTCATTAAAGGCCTCTCCTAAATTTGGATTTTATTCTCAAAACCAACTCAAAATAACCAGATGAGGTCAATGGTTAAATTGAATTTTTGCAGCTTGACTGAGTCAAAGGATTATTTATTGCAGTCTATGAGGAAATATTCCAAATCTTTTCTCTGGCTTTTGACATTAATTTGAATTCTACTGAGATACTTTTCTCCCTCTGTAGTCTGCAGGTTTGTTTTATAATTTATCTGTCAAGATACAGATATAAATGTAAAAAATCCTTTATGCAGACTTACAGAGAACTTAGTACCCTTGTCTAAAAAGTCTATTTAACGCAAGTTGTCACAGTAGTTTAGTTAAAAAGAATTGCATATCCTATGAGGGCGGTCCAGGATCTCTCCTCTTTTGCACACACCAACACGGGCAACTTTTGAAAAAGATGCCTGACGTAGTCACACATTTCTAGCATTTTATCTTGAGTTCTGTCTTCTCCTATTTTGACGGATTCTTTTCATCTTTTGGGTATTCACACTTTACTGGAAACTGCAATTAGAGCAAGACGATCCTGATGATATTGTAGATACAGTAGTTCTTGTGCATTTAGCTGGTATTTTTGAGAATTCTTAAGTTTATAAAACAAACACCATAACCAGACATCACCACCCACACTTTTTCATCAAGGAGATATTGACTGCACCGTGCCAAATTGTTTTTTCATTTTGAGAACACACTTGAAACTGCAGATCCACATACTTAACAAGTAGTAGTGGCATTTATGATTAGAGGGTTATGCTGACATTATATGAAGTAATGGCTCTTTTCCGTAGTTACATACTCAAAGATACTTACAAAAAATTATGGAATTTCACCTTCTTACATTAGTTTCAACTTGAACTGAAACAGACCTTGGCTTTTAAAGTTTTAAGAAACCAATCTGAAACCCGAAGGCATAATCCAGCCTTTAAATGACATGAAAAATAAGGGAACACTACAAAACCAAGCTCTGCCTCAGTTCCATTAAAAGGTTTCTTTCAACCGGCAAATTTTCTAGCAAAATTAATTTTCTAGCAAAATTAATTTTCTAGCAAATTTTTTTAGGTCTGAACAACTAATTTCCTTCTAAACAGCAGAAAATTAAGAAGGTACAGTAATAAAAAAATCCAATTCTTTGGACTTTGGGAAGGCATAGTGCAATGACCTGAAGGCGCTTTACCTACAGCTTCAGAAAGTCCCTGTTAAAAATGCACACTTCAAACAATCATTTGGTGTATCGTAAGTTTATTTAGTAGCTGCAGTTTTGTGTGAAAATGTGAAATTCAAATCAGTATTCATGTGAGGGTGAATGAAGGCCATCATTACAAATACAAAGAGTGTTGTGCAGTAAGTGTCCAAGGCAATTCGTAGTTCAAATGATCACCAACTTTTACTGGAGCACTGACAAAAGCTTTCAAGCTTGCTCCACTCCTCTTCCTAACACACACTAACTACTAAGAACTAGTCAGTCTCCACGGCTCTTGAAGCCTACATGATGGTCGCTAACTCAAGAGAAAAAAGGTGATCCACAGCTCCAGAGGAGGCACAGTTCAATGCTGTGGGATGACACGAGATCAAGTGCGCTGTCCATCGCGGTTTTCTCATCAACAGCCGCTTTGAGAGATTCCTCTCGTGTTCCAAGCCTCAGCTTCCCACATGAACCCGGGTATACATCTAGGGAAAAGATTAACAAACCAGAACGCCTCCTCCACCCTTTCAGTGGGAAGGGCCCGGTTCGATGGAGGGAGCCGAGGGCAGCCCCGGCGCCGCACGGGGGTCACAGCTAAGAGCAGCGGCCGGGATCCGCCCCTACCCCGCGGCGGCGGGGAGGGCCCGCGGCACCAGCCGGCGCCGCCCCCTCCACCGGGGCCGCCTACACGGCGGGCACCAGGCTCTTCTTATCCAGCGGCTGCTCGTCCTCCTCGAGCAGCAGCTCTTCCAGCTCCCCTTCCTCGGCTCCCGAAGCCTCGAGCCCGCCGGCGGCCCGGCAGCGTCGCAGATGCCGCAAGGCCCGGCGGTGCTTCTCCTGCAGCCGCCCCAGCTCGGCGCGCAGGGCCTCCGCCTCCTCGCCCGGGTCGGCGGGGGGCTTGTCGGGGCCGGGCCCCCGCAGGGCCTGTCGGAAGAGCCAGCGGTTCTCGCGGCGCAGGCGGCGATTCTCCAGCCGCAGCCGCGCGTTCTCCTGGCGCAGCCGCGCGTTGTGCCACTCGCGCTCCTCCCGCTGCCGCAGCGCCTCGCTGTGGCTGGCCGCCAAGTCCGCGTACCGCTCCGCCAGCTGCTGCGGCGAGCCCCGCGACTCGCCCCGCCAGCCCTGCTGCCCGCCGCCCGCCCCGGCCTCCTCCGCGGCCCCGCCGCTCCCGGCGGCGGCACCGAGCACCGCCCGCCCCCCCCGCGCCGCGCCGCTGCCCCAGCGCCCGCCCACCGCGCGCATGCGCCTCATCCGTGCCGCGCCCGCCGCCGCCCGCCCGCAGCCGCCGCGAGCCGAGGGAGGGCTCCCGGTGCATGCAAATCGGGGCGGGGCCTGAGCCCGCGGGGCGGGGCCTGAGCCCGCGGGGCCGGGCGGGGCGGGGCGGCCCCACGGTGCGCCCCTGCAGTGAGCGCGGGCGGCCGGCAGGGGGCGCGGGGGCGCCCGGGCCCGGAAGCGCCGTCGGGCCGGCCCGGAGCGGCCCTCAGGCCCCGTCCGCCGCCGGGCCGCTGCTATCGGCACGCCGGGCCCGACAGAGCCGCGTCCAGCCTGGCCTTGAACCCCGCCAGGGCTGGAGCAGCCACAGCTTCTCCAAGCAACATGTGCCAGTGCCTGTCAGTAAAGGTCTAAATGATGACCATTTATTTAAAACACTTAGAAAAGAAATAGCAAGGCACTGCAGAACATAAACAATCTTAGTTTTACTGTACTTTTGTTGTGACTGCTAATCAACAGAAATGAACAATTATTTCCTGTACTAAGCCATTTTCCAAGAAGAGATTGACTAGGGCGTTTCAGAAGTTCTGCATGATATGTGACTGAACCAGTTTTGCATTGAAGGAAACATGTTAATACCTGTTTATGACTCAGTACTTAATGTTGTTGCTTTGTAAATTTATGAATTTACCCACTCATAAAACTTCAGTTTGAGCTATAAGCTGAACCCAAAGTAGCACTGAAACTCTCCCATGTGTGTGGAAGGCTTTGCACTCCAGTAAAAGAGTGGAGAGGGTAACAAAGAACTTGAGCTTTTGATGACCAGTAAATTAAATTACAGTCATCATTAATAGCACCTTCGCTTTGATCCAAATTCCTCAAGTCTTTCAGAGAATGTTGTATCATGGGTCTTAATTTGTTTATTCATCTTTGTTAGTTTTTTCATGTGCCTTTATTTTATGCTGGAAAATACATGCATATATACTTGCATAAGGATTGATAGTCTATATTCTTAGAAAAATTAGGTAGCATATCAGAAGACTATTTACTGAGTTTTAGATTCCTTTGACAACGTTTAAACACTAATTTGATGTTTTTAGGTTAAAGACTGACAGAAAGTCATTTGGATTGGGGAAAGATGATAAATGAACATAGAAAAACTTTCATCGTGAGATAGGCTCACACTAGAAAGCTTGAAGGGGGAAAGTGCAAATGGAGAAGTAACCAGAAAAGTTGTACAGTTTTCAGTGATTTTTTTTTTCTCACTGAATGCCTGTGAAGAACAAAATATTTTAAACAGCAATACAGTAATGGTATTATTTCACTCCTTTTGATTAAAGCTCTGTGTTTACTTAATGGTGTTAGGTCTCTGTAGATAAGAGAAAGTGACAGTACTCGTGGACTGTCAGCTGGCATTAATTTTGAATGCTGTCCAACCTGCACAGGAAAATTACTCAAGAAAAACACCTCAAAAGGAAAATAAAAACTCTTTGTGCCTGTCACTCCCTTACCGCTGAATCCATACTTTTGAAGTGAATTCAGTCAGCGCTGCTGCTTGTGTAAATATTGAGGATAACATTCTCTTTTGGCTTTAGTGGAAGATATACCAATAGGCCCAAACTGAGTTTAAATTTTTTTGGTGCATTTTTTTTCCTCTCAAGTTACGAATGGTTTGGGTTGGGAAGGATCTTTAGAGGTCATCTAGTCTAAATCCTTGCAATATGAAGGGGCGAGTTCTTCCATTTTAGCCCTGCCTAACCTAACCTTGAATGATCCCAGGTGTGAGGTGCGGCAGGGCGTATGTGGCCAAAGTCCGGCTAGCTGAAGAATAACGGTCGACGCCTCAGCTGCATCGAAGGCCAGCCCCCCTTGGCGTCTTGGCCTTGGGCTGGGCTGGATCGCGGACAGGGCTCGCAGCGCTGAAGAGACGAGACAAAGGAGCGACCACTTGCTGGCGGTGACGGTCAGTTTATTGATGGTCTGGGAGCACCAACCGAGGGAAGGCACCAACCAGCAAATGGCAAAAAACAGAGGGAGGAACAAGGTTTTAAAGGTAGGGGGTGGATAAGGGAGGGACGCCCAGCCAACCAATAGGGAAAGGAACAGGGAAGTGCATAACATAATCGACATACAGCAGTATCCAATAAATACAAAGTGAAGGAGGAGCCCCGGGACCACAGCCAACCACAACCCCTACAGAGAAGAAGGTTCTCAAAGACTAGGAGGAGCGGGGGGTGATTGACTGGGCCCAGGGAAGAGGAAAAGTTTACTTATAAGGAAAATTATGGGAGGGGAAATTATATAACTTACTTAACTGACAAAGCCAGGGGGAAGGGGTAACCATGGAAACGTAACTGACAAGAGGGCAGTGGTGGGAAAACTGGGGAGGGCAGAACCATTTTACATAGAACAAGGGGGAACAATACTTAAAATGGGGGAACAAAATGAGAAACCTAAGAATACACTACAACAGTGAGGCATCTACCAGCTCTCCAGGTAACCTGTTTCAGTGTGTCACTACTATTGCTGTAAAAAATTTCTTTCCTGTACATAGTCTGAATCTACCCTCTTAAAATCAATTACCCTTTTGTCCTGTTACTATAGACCCTACTAAGAAGTTTGTCCCCATCTTTCTTTAAGCCCTCATGAAGTACTGGAAGTCCAAAATAAAGTCTCTCTGGAGTCTTCTTTTCCAGGCTGAACAACTTCACTTCTCTCAGCCTTTCCTTGCTGGAGATGTGATTCAGCTCTCTGATCATTGTTGTGGCCCTCCTCTGGGTCTGCACCAAAAGAACCATATTTGTCTTGCGCTGAGGACCCCAGAGCTGGATGCAGTACTTGAGGTGGGGTCTCACCAGAGTAGAGTAGAGGGGCAGAATCACCTACCTTGGCCTACTGGCCACATTTCTTTTGAAACAGCCCAGGGTATGTTTGGCTTTCTGGGCTGCAGGAACACACTGCTGGCTGATGTCCAGTTTTCCACTCACCACTTGCGCGAGGGCGTACGTGGCCCTAAGTCCAGCTAGCTTGAAGGCGGAGAGACGGCCGACGCCCCTACGCATCTGAAGCCAGCCCCCCTTGGCGTCGTGGCCTCGGGCTGGGCTGGATCACGGACTTGGATTACTTGCACTTGATGAGACGAAATAAGGGAGCGACCACTCACTGGGGGTTAATGTCGGTTTATTGAAGGACGCTGTTACCAGCAATGGCAACCAACAGGTGGAAAAGACCCCAGCAAATGGCCAGGAACAAGGGGAGAGGCAAGGTTTTAAAGGGAACGGGTGGAGAAGGGAGGGAAGCTCAGCTAGCCAATGGGAAAACATATAGGGAGGAGTATAACATAACTGACATACAAATATATCCAATAAACACAAAGTAAAGGAGGGGCCCCGGGACCACAGCCAACCACAACCCCCAGAGAGAAGAAGGTTCTCGAAAGCTGGGAGGAGTGGGGGTGATTGACTGGGCCCAGGGAGGAGGAAAAACTTACTTATAAGGTGGGATAGGGGAGGGGAAGTTACATAACCTAAGAGATTGACAACCGAGGGGGAAGGGGTTACCATAGCAACCCAACTGTAAAAAGCTCTGTGGCGGGAAAACTGGAGGGGGAAGAACCATTTTACAAAGAACAGGGGGGAACAATACATAAAATGGGGGAGCAAAACAAGAAATTTAAAAACACACTGCAACATCTCCTCGTTTCTTAACAAATAAAATTAAAGGAACAGGAAGTCCATAGAACTTAAAATTCAGGGTCTCGCGGCTGGTCCGGCCAGGCCTCGCCTTTCTTGAGCTGGGATCCGTCCGCCCATGGATGGTCGAAAGGCGGTGTGGATGCCCCCTCCTCATCCGCAGCTTCTTCGGCCTCCGAGGAGGGGTCCTCCAGCTCGATGGACCCATCAGACGGGACTGCAGAATGGTTGACGTTTGGCGAGGCTGCCCTGGCTATCAGTCTCTGAACCAAACCGTGAACTAACATAATGAAAACTAAAAGTATTATTAAACTCAAAACAACTTTAAAAACAGATTCTATAATGGAACTGGCCCACCCACTAAGGCCCCAACCCTTAAAAATGTCCCCCAGCCAGTCAGAGGTCTCTTCCTTGACCTGATGGATGAGGTCTTGTAGTCTTTTAATGGAATGTCTGGCGTCCTCGGCTCGAGAGGACAGGTTCAGGCAGCAGAGGCCCTCAAACTCCTCACAGTGGTGGTGGTGAAGCAGCAATAGAAAATCTATTGCTGCTCTGTTTTGGAGCGTCGCCTTCCTTGTAATTTCCTCATCTGTGAGGAGGTTGTATGGCGCGGCTGAAGTAAGATTGGCTTGTTTAGCCACCCAACACTCTAGGCAGCCCAATTCACCTAGAGACTTCGCCACTGATACCCAAGGCAATAGAATGGTAAAGGCGACAGATTTTGAATGTGACCAATGAGTAATTTCATCATCACAATCCTCTGTGAGATCTTTGAGATCTCTTTTAGCTCTGCCCAATTCAGATGTGATGTTGGTTTTCTTCAAATTGATAATTTGGGTCATGTTGGGGGTAAACAGCGTCAGCCGGCCGAAGGTGCACGGCCCTCCGACCAGACCAGAGGGGATGCCTGCCCACGCTCGGTCGCCACAAATCAAAAACGTTCCCCTAGGAAGGGCGTAAGGGGTCCGTCCAGTAGTGGTGGGGCCACCGATCTTTAACACAGCCTGACACCACTGGCTGGCTTGGTATTCTAGTTTTGATTGTTGGACCACCTCACTGCCCCTCTCAATGAGGATTATAGTATAGTCAAACTGAAAACAAATAGATGAGTTGGCGGAACCAAGGAGATGTAATTCTGTGGGCTCGGAGGATGCAGGATCCAGCCTGACCACTCCGTCTCTCCAGGCATTGGAGGAGACAAAACTCAGGAGGATAGTGAGGCTCCTGGCCAAAATAGGGGAAAGGGCAGACTGGAAGGCAGAGGGGAACTCGCCTGGAGAGAAAGGGATCCCCACAAGGCAAGACGACATCGGGTCCTCTGCTGCGCCGGTGTCAAGGCATATACTG